ATACTGCTTTATGTGTTGATAGACTGTATGTGTTTATGGACGTGTATTGGAAAAAGCGATACTGATTTGGACTTAAGTGTTCAAAGTTGCTAATCTGCTTATTCCATAGTTTGGGTATCTTGGGTGCCTATATGTTATTATAATGAGTTTATATGGTTTGGTGTCTCTTTGATATTGCTATTCTTGACTACAGAATATGTAATTAGTACGGTTATTGATTGTTGTCCTCCATGTAGTTCAATTGAGGTTGCTAAAATCAATCTTTCTTTCAAACTTTAAACATACTATGTGTTCTAGATGCATTTAAAAAAAAAAAGACACAATCTCCAAGTTATAGCTCTCTTTGCTATGCGAATGGCTTGATTTGGCTTTGAGCATATTTTTGTGTCTCAAGCTATGAGAGATTTCCTATGATTGTAAGTTAAATTTTAGATGCATTTTTAGCATGAAAGAACGTATGGACTAAGCTAATTTGCCGATATTACTTTGCTGATAAAGATGAGGCATTGATTTAGTTTTAATCATTTTTAGAGAAAATTAGTGCTGTTGGAGAATTATGCAATGGCTACACACATGATTTGTTAATTGTCTTCTTAACAAAAGAATGTTGCTGCTTCATTTATTTACTTTTCTTCCTTTTGAATATCATTGAAGCATCAAGCCGAATATATAAGATCACATGGTCAAGAAAAAAAAAAACAGTTTGCTCTCTATTTATTGTCTTTGTGAATTTTATGTTTAAATGAATGATTCATAAACATGAACACAAATCTCATTTTTTTAGAGTTTGTTATGTGAGATTTTGAGAATCTTCGTAAACATTTAAAATGATCTTATGTCATGTAAATTAATAAGATTTTGCATATGTGAGAATCAATCTTGTATATTAAATATGGGTTTCAATGGCACATTATTTAAATTAACAATTTTGTTTTTACCTTTTTCCAAATATAATCAATTAAAAATATTTAAATAGTATCATGTGAGATTTGAAGAATCTATATAGATATTCAGCTTAATTGTCTTATTGTGTAGGATAATAAATCCTTACAAATGTCGTGATTATTAATTATAAATAAATGGATATTGTATATAATAATATAATAAATTTTTTTAAAAAATTATTAATTAATTAAATTAATGTATTTAAATTATGACTACACTTAGATTGTTAAATCTTTTTGTCACGTGTGATTTTAAAAATCTCCACAAACACTTAGGATAATCATATTAACATGTGAGTCAATAAGACTTTATAGGTATAATGATTAAGACTCTTTATCATATTTTTTTTTGCCATAAATGATGAAAGTATCCGTTGGCACATTGAATAAATTTTCAATATATATATATATATATATAAAAGTGAGAAAAATATTAAAATGAAATATGTAGTAAAGAATTAAGATTTCATATTGTAAGAGAAAAATAAAATTTCAGCAAGCATTAAGACCAATTGTATGCCCACGAGTGACAATAAGTCTCAGTAGATACATTAAATCATTTTTAGAAAAGATTTTAAAATTAATTTTTTATATTGATAAAGTGAATCTTCAAAATAAGAGAAACTATATTACTTCACATTTATTTTTCAAAAAGGAAAAAACAAACATAGTTTCTAAAATTAGTATAAACAGTGAAAACATTTTTTTAAAATTTAAAATGAGAGTAAGAAAATGAAGTTAAACTATCTTTGCAAATTAAAACATACCAACCCATATTTTAGAAAATTATTTTGTTTGCAATTTATAAATTATTTTCATTTGACTTTCTCTTTTCATCATAAATTAAAAACCATTGACACTCACTTCTATCTTGAACTATGTAAACTTTGATCCCCATCACAGGGTACGTAGACTCCAGAGTTAGATTCTGGATCAAGTTTGCTCTTATAAATAAATTACTATTTCTTTATTTTTTTAATGGCTTACACGTGAATGAAAAATGGTAATTAAAATAACTTTAAAGCCATATTAATTTAACACAATTAATTTCAAATAACTATTATCACGAATAGGTGTTGTGAGGTGTTTAATACCTTCCTTATACTCAATCAATTTTTGAACCCATCTTGTTTTCACAAACTATCCTTTTCATTTTCTTTTAAAGATTTTCCAAGATTTTTTTTAAATTTTAGTGGCGATTCTTTTAAATCAGTTTTGATTTCAAAGGCTAAATCTTAAATCTTGTGCGCTATCCGCGTCGCATTTTTAGATGTGATAATAAGTATCTTGTCTTAAATTAGTATAATTAAATAGTTTAACTAACTCACATCTAATATTGTAGATATATCCATCGTGATTTGGTGTCTTCAGGAAAATATCATAAGTTTGGATTACTTTGCCCGGGAACACTCCTAAGTTGAGAGATGAATATATATCTTAGAGGCACTCTGAAAGAGTACTACATTGCACCATATATCCATGAGTAAAAATTTTTTTATCTTTCATATAATTATGCTTTGAATTTGCTTTCTTTAACTTCCATTAATATTTTTCTATAATGGCCATTGGTAATTGGCACTCTTTACCATGAAGAGCAACATTGTCCTCTTCTTGTGCTCCTTTCACTATAAAGTAGGGAAAGATTTGAAGAAGACGGTAGGTTAGTAAGTATCCATTTACTATAAAGCATCGTTTGTTATGTTTAATTAGTGGTTGTTGACTTTGTAATTTTGCTGATAAGGTTATGAGGACATATCAACATAATGAGTTGAGGAAGCATACTCATGAGATTAATGACCCTATATGGATCATGCCAAAGGTAAGAGTGCATTTCTTGGGAAATTAACCTACTTAATTTTTAAAAATATAATTTTTCTATTCATTTACAAAGTCATAGACAGCCGAAGAAGTCTCAATTATGTGGCTTGTATGTCATGTGGCATATTTTCAAGATTATCATGCATGGCGTGAATTCATTCACCTAAGAGGTGAATGTATTAGTTTGGTTTTTTTTTTCTTAGTCCATTTAGTTTTGTTTTTTTTTCTTCCTTCGCAATTTACTAATATTTTAGTTTTCTTTTTAGATGTTCGAGCTTACTGAACCATTCCTTAAGGAGAACATTGATAAGGTCAAGTAATGGTGGATGGAGTTTTTCATAAAGCTTCATATGAGGTAGCACATAGTTTTTATAATGTCTTTTTTAAATAGTTTGATTAGTTTCATGAAATTGTACATACAATATTTAGGGTTTATTTGAGTTACATATTTGAATTGAATATTATTTCAATTGATTCATTGATATTAGTTATTCGATTATAAGATTATACTAGACTGGATTAGCTGGTTTTCATTTGCAAGTTATTGAAAATTTGTCTTAAATAGGGGGCTTAAGATAAAACAAATGAAAGTATTTAAAAAAAAGATCACTTTCTAAACCGGTTAAGAAATTAACCAGTTTAAAAAGTTCATATTCTAAATCTGTTAAAGTCAAAAATAGTTTAGTATGCAATGCTTTCTAAACTGACTTAAAAAGTATATATACTAAACCAGTTAACATAATAACTGATTTAGAACATAAACTTTCTAAATTGGTATAGAAAGTGTTCTTTTTTTTTGACAATTTTCTAACATGAACTTTCTTGACAATTTTGCAACTGGTTTAGGAAGTCTCATACTTTCTAAACTACTCTTATCTAAATCAGTTCTAAATTCAATTTTGATTAGCTTTTTTAACCGGTTCAGAAAGCATTTTTTATACTAGTGCCATTTGTCCATCTCTTCCCCATTCTAAAGGAGAAATAAGGTGATGATTGATGATGATATAAATGATACACTTGATCTCGTACTGAGATTTTAATTGTAAACAGTGAGATTTTAGCTTTGTGTTCTTGAGATCAACAAATGTTTTGGTTATTGGATGGAGAATTTTGCTCATATCTATGCTTTGTTTATAAAATTCTTTGTTCTTGAAAAGAGAAGAAGAAGGAGTAACTAATTTTGCAACATTGAGGTAGAGATAGAAATAGAGGTGGAGATGTCGATGAATTCAACCTCGAGACAAATCGATTTCACAACCTTGAGGTAGAGATAGAATGATTAATCCATCTTTCTCTCTCTTCAAATAGTGTCATCAACAAATTGATGAAAAGTACCAAATGCTTTGATTTTATAAGTTCATGATTTACAGTAACACCACAAATAATATAGGCTACCTTCTGTTTTTTAAAAAATAATTTATGATTAAATTTATACTTTTATTTAAAATAATTACCTTACATTCTCAAGCTCAAATATTCAAATATACCATTGCATTGAACAAATATATATAAAAAGCTAAAAAGTATTACCATGAAGCTGATGTTAATAATTCCACACAACAGTTTTAGAATATATTAAAATAAGGATCAAGTGTCATTTTTACCCCTTCATTTTACTCGAAGGATAACTAGAAACCCTAAACTCAACTATATGTTAATTTTATTTCTCAACGTTAAAGATTCTATCTTTTATCATTCTGATATTAGGAACACTTAATGTTTGTTTGTTATGAGTGAACTTCAATATTGTTTTAATATTTTTTATTGAGTTAAAGGTTATATTTACCCTTCAATTTTTATTTAAATAGTACACCCTCAACTCAAATATTTTATAATAAAAAATATTTAAAATATAATATAAGGCTACTCATGACTAACTAATAATGAAAAGATGATAGGATAATAAGTGAGAGAATTTTTAAAGTTAACAGAATTGATTCATAATAAGTTTAACCTTCCCAATAACCTTTTACATAAAATTTGTAGGGACAAAAATAATCCTTGACTTTTTTTAAAAAAAAAATAGCAACTAGCATGACAATTTTGAATCATATTCGAAGGATACATGAACATCGAATCTTGGGAGGAACCAAGTAGCCAGACACTGAAAAATTCGAAGTTGAAGAATCCCGTTAACAATGTTATGCTGATTCGAGTGATTTTTTTTTTTTTTAATCCAGACTGGCATTATCTGATAATCTTCGATCTCCAACTCCAACCAAGATAATTTCCAATAAATTATAGAGGGTAAATTACTTTCCCAAGGTTTGCCATTTCGAATTGTTGAACCATCACTTGAATTGAATAAAAAAGTCCAACTAAATAAAACCCTAAAATTAGAATTATTTGAATTGAATTCTTTCATCTGGAACAATCCGGTAATTGTTCCTGCGTTTGCTGCTGCTAATTCTACTTGCTAGTTACCATCCTTCTTCTCTTGATCTTCTTCTTGGAGTTGAAAAGCCGAGACAGGAAAGGATCTGGAAATCCCGCTGGAATTAGCGAAGGCAATCTTAGCGGAATCGGGATCATCAATGAAGATATCGGAGATAGTGACCCAAAAGAACAGCTCCTTGCTCTTCACCCCCGTTACCTTCCTCATTCGGCGCATCTCGACGAAGGCGGTGACCTCGGACTCGTACAAAACGGTGCGTCGAATGGCCTCGAACCTGTGCTCGTTCCTCTTCTTCTGCTTGAGCCAGACGAAGCCAGTGGAGCGATTGTGGCCTACCTCGATGATGTCGTTCAAGGGGAGCAATCCTTCGGGCAGACAAATCTCACCGAGCAGCTCGCGTGACTTCTGCTTGCAGAGATCTTCACCATGGTAAACCTCAGCGTTGTCTCCGTGGGTTGCTATTAGATGTGTTGCCATTAAGGTAAAGCTAAGAAGAGTTTATTTAGGGTTCGAGAAATTTCGCTGACCTGGGTTTCAGACTTTAGAGAACAACACCTTGTATTGTGAACGAAAACACAGAATTTATAGTGAGGAAGAAAAAGAGATAATTTCAGTGGAAGGAGATGCAGTTTGTCGGGGCACGATGTGGGTGGGGGTGTTCGATACGATAAATGATGGTGATTGAATGAGAATCATGTATTTGACACGCAGAATACACCCTAAGAAACATTTTCCCCCAAATTTAATGCTTAATCCTATTATAACAAAGATGAACATGCGTCCTGTTTGGCAAGACATTAATTATGAGCCCTAAATAATTGATTTTTTTAAAAAAATTTCAAACAGAAAAAAATAATAGTTATTGAGTTAAAATCACATTTTAAAATAAATTATGAAACGTTGTTTATAAATTTAATTTTATTATTAAATAATACATTTTACTTCTTAAATAAAGTTTAAAAAATTTAATAATATTAAATACAATTTTATTAATAATTTAATTTTAAAAAATAATATTATTTATGGTAATTTGTATAATTAAAATTAATTTTAATATCCAAAAATATTGTGCTATAATATAATTAATTATAATTAAAATTAATCATATTAATTAATTATTTATAATTAATCATATCTAATTAAAATTCAAACGGGTTCACAGACAGAGAATAAGGAAAATGTCAAAACAACATATGGCAATAAATTTAATTGCCAATGGATCGATCTTCTATTTTGAGAACATGTGGTAGTTACCTGCATGACGTGATGCAATGTTCTTTCTATTCTAAATTGTACCATAATTTAAAAAAATTATTATTACAAGATATAAGATAATTTCAAAAAAATAAAATTTTATTAATGATATATTTTTTATATTACTTTTTAAATATAAAGAGAGTTAAAATAATATTATAACTCAATGATTAAGCGTGTAGGAGGATTTTTAAAAATTTATATTTTATTTTTAAAAAATAAATTTATAAAATATTATTGTTATATTTTATAAATATGCAAAATTTTATTTATAATTTAAAATAAAAGAGTATTTTATATTTTTTTCTATTAAAAAATGTAAGGTATTTTTAACTAAATTTCACCTCCTAATAAAGTAATTACATATTTTCTATTTACTCCTATTAAACACTCTATAATAAATATAAATTTATTATTAATAGAACCACTTTAAAAAGATAATAATAATTATATTTTAAAGAATTAAAAATTTTATATTTTTAAAACTCATTTTTTAAAAAAAATATTTTATATTTTTAAGCCTAGAGAGTAGAAAATAAATTGGATATGCAAGGCTTCATTATGATTTTTCTTACAAAGAGGGAAAACGAACTGACAACGAAACTCTGTCAGGTCATCAGTTTTTACCCCAGTAAAAGTACTCTCTGTATATCCCATTTTTCCTTCAATTGTCAGAGACTCCGTTCTGCTAACAAAAAAGACAAAACCAATCATAAGAGTTCTGTTTCTTTACAGCTACACCTTTCATCGTCCAGAAGATATATACAAATAAACTAGGATTTCTTGGCATGAGAGCAAGAAATGAATGGTGGAAAATATAATAAACAAAGGGTATGGTGATCATTGATCATCATCACCCCAAATAACGAGAGATACTTGTGACACTTGCTGCAGCAGCTGCCATTGAAGTATGACAAGTCAGAGTCAGCCCTTCTGGTTCTTGTGGCAGCCTTCTTCAACATTACTTTATCAGTACCTTCACTGCTGGTGTGCCTGAGATTGTGGCGATACTCAAGGGCCACTTGTTCGAAGACTTCAGCGTCGAACATGTTGAGCCTCAGCTTTGGTCTCATGTGATCTCTCACAAATGCAAACGCTAGTTGGTCTCTGGGGTTGAATCCCTCCAACTCATTGAACATTAGACACGAGAACAGGTTGCTTCGTAATCCATGTTTCCTCAGTATCAGAGCACTGTCTGGTACATCTGCCATATCCATCCATTTCATTATTTACATTCTCTAATACTACTGGATAAAACACAACACATTTCATCCTGTTATTCTCTAACAGATGCTTCATAATATTTTTTTTTTAATTTTCAATCAGTACATTTTTATTTTGCGTTTACAATGTTGATGTTTATTTTGTATAAATATATATAGTCTTTTAGTATATTTTCAGGATAAGTCAATTGTTAGAGACTAATCCTTGGAAGTAATGAGATTTCATTTGAGAGGCTAACCTCTCCTAACATATACTCTTTCATATGGATAGCCTAAGAATCAAATCCTAATCACATGCTTACAAGATCTGATGAATAACTTATCATCCATGCCAAACCTAATGGTAGATTGTTATTTCAAGTTACATATGAGGGTTGAATTTTTATGGTCGACTTGGCTGTACTTGCTACTACTTTCTATGATGCCAGTTCCATTTATTTTCCCATGAGAATGAGGAGAGATTTCAGTCTTCGCACGCAGCGGCGGAATCAAGCTAGTAAGGTTGGGAGGGCAATATAGACTAAATTATTTAATTTTTTTATTAATAATTTAAAATAATTTTATAATAGAATTGAGAAACTTATAAGACAACAAGTCGTTTATATAAAACTTTAAAATAAAAAAAAGAGCTTTGCAAAGTATATAAACAACTCACGCTACAAAAATTAAAAGAAATTAATAATTGATTTATATTTTTATCTACTATTACTTACTGAAGTACGTTTGTGATTTTATTATAAATTATTTTCACATATTTTATTGAAATCAAGAAAATATTAAAATTTATTAACCTTTTTTAAAAGTTTAATAAGTTTTTGATTTTTTTATTATAAAAATATATTTTAATAACATACTTTGTCTTTTCAACATTTATTATAAGGTAAAAAAAAATTATAATAAAAATTGAATGATATGATTTATAAACATGATAAAAAAAGTCCGCCCCCACACATAACCTTCTTGAATTAGCCGTCTCTATTAAGGGCACATTCTGCATTTGCCATAACTAAGCAATTATCATTAGTAATTATGGATCGATAATGATCATAATAATCTTGAATTCGTCACAGCACGCGAAAGCTTTTCACTTTCCTAAAAATAATCATTCAGATGAAGGTTTGCCGCCCCGCTCCTCCTAACTTATTAATTAATCACACAAATATAACCAAAGTCCTTTAATTGTAAAATGTACTACTCTACTTTTATCAGCTTCGAATTAAAGCAAATTTGATTACCTTTACGATGAGGACGCCCTTTTTCAAGCTCAAGCTACCTATAGCATAATTTTCAAAGGCTTTGTAATAAGTATCTCACTTATTATCTCTAAAACACAAAAATTTGTACAGCAATCCCAATAGAATATGAAAAAAAATACACTATAGGCTCAAGGACCCTTTCTACAAATTTTATTACGGATAAAAATACACAATTGCGTTTGTCTCAAGGGTATGTCCATGTGTGCACAATAAGATGTTCACAAATTCTCAACACAATGTTCATAAATGCACAACACATTTAGTGAATATAGTTTAATTTGAAATGAAATGTACAAACAAGCAAATGATATAAAACACAATGTTTATGAATACACAACACAATATTTATCAATTCTCAACACAGTGAACATTTGTAGATTTGCAACATTTGCACAACATAAAATCCATAATGAATAAAATATTTTCATTAAGACAACGTACTTCAAGTTAATGTCCACCAGATATGTTGTGTATTTATAAATATTGTGTTGAGAATCTGTAAATGTTGTGTTATGGATACATGAACATTCTATTGAAATGAGAACAAGCAAATGATATGAAACACAATATTCATGAATACACAACACAATATCTATCAATTCTCAACACAGTGAACATATATAAACTTGCAACATTTGCATAATATAAAGTCCATAATGAACAACATATTTTTATTGAGACAACATACGTCAAGTTAATGTCCACCAAATATGTTGTATATTCATGAATATTGTGTTGAGAATCTATAAATGTTTTGTTATGGATACATGAACTTTCTATTGAAATGAGGGCAAATAAGTTTTTTTGTTCACAGCAAAATTTGTAAGAAAGGTCCTTGAGCTTGTAATACATTTTCAAGTTTTATTAGGCTTGCATGCAATTTTTTGAGTTTTGAGAGCCTAAATGAAATTCTCCCTTTTGTAATATGCATGGTGACCAAATCTAACAAGAAGCATAGTCCTTCTCAAACAAACAACACAGATTAACCGTCTAGCTAGTGATATCAAAGAACGTGACTTATCATTACAGTATTCATCTCTCAATGAAAATTGATCTAAATTACATCCAACTTACAAACAGGGCACAAGCAATTTCATAATCTAACAAAAGAAAGGAGAATTAAAATTAAATCCCAACTAACGAAATTAATTATTTTTTCAGTCTATTTACAACTCATATTTCCATATTATTACCTGTTAATTAAACTCCAGTAATTACAAGTGTATGGGATTTGTAAGTAATTAATTTTATTATTTGAAATTTATATGTAATCCTCCTAAAATAAATGATAGCGAGCGAAGAGATGTGTACCTGAGGCATAGGGCAGCTTGGAAGGTCCCCAAGGTTGGAGGCCATTGTCACAGTAAGTCTCCATCTGCAACTTCAAGGCATTAACATCCCACCATTTCTTCCACCTCGCTGTGGCCATTGCTTCCTCCATTGTATGAACATAATAAGGGTGTTTCGATATAGCCATGTCCACATTCTCAGATATCACCAGCGAGTGTATCAGCAACAATGGATCCACCACTAGTTGCAGCTTGGCATCTATCCATATGCTGAACTTGGAGTTTGGAAACAGCCTGTGTACCAAATATTTTGGTATCACTCCATTCATTGCTGGGTTCTCATACAAATCCTCCCTTGAAACCTTCACGAGCCTCCATGCTCCTACCTTGTACTCTCTTGATTCACCTGCTGACACTATTCCATGGTATTGAAGCCCTTTCAGAGTGATGTCGTCTATGAACATGAAGAAGCACACATGGTCTAATGTTTTTGATCCCAGCCCTCTTGGCTGTCGCACCTTGTCGTGGTCATTGAAGAGGGCTGAAACTACTACCAGACCATCACACTTCTCCATCGTCATTTGATCTGAATCAAGAGAGAAACAACACACACATCATGTACAGTGCAGAACCAACAACTTCAAAATCAAAACAGTCTGATAATTAATTAAAAAAATGCTGCAGAATGAATTATTTGTAACAGAACAGAGCTTGGAAGTTTATGCCCTGAATTACATCATAACAGAGAACAAAACACCTTCAGGCCGATGTTAATTTGTGCACAGGTAAAAAGAGAAGTGAATTTTCATGTGGGACACACCAGAATCTGCGATTGGAAATTTCTTGAGAAATCCACAAGGAATTTGTTGGTCATCATTTCGATGATTGAAATAAGAAAATCTTATTTGAGAGCTGAAATTCCCACCGAAACTGGTAGAATTCCCCTGCATATACTTAATAACACGGCGGGAAGATGAAGACCGATCGCGGAAATTCTGGATATCCTTGAAAGCGTCCCAGTAATCTAAAAGCCAGAAACCAAAACTCAGAGCTTCGATGGCAAAAACCGATCAATTACGAAAAGAGCAAAGATTAGAATCACAAAACTACCTGAGAAGAAGACAGGGGAAGAGCAGGTGGAGCGAGTGGTTGAGACGGCATACTTGTGGGGGTGATAGGAGGAATTGTAGGAGAAGAGCGAGGAGCGTATGGGATCGAAGGGAGACGATCGGAGGAGGCATTTGGATTGAGAGAGAAAGGTAAAGAGAGCGAGAGAGAGGGAGGAGAAGAGATAGAAGAGAGAGAAGCAGAGGAACTTGGAATGGAGGATGAGGGGTTTTGAAGTAGTTATTAGCTTCCCCATAATGCGTCAGATTCACAGATTGCTGATCCTTTTCTTTTTCCTATTTGATCTGGCAATCACATTTTTTCCTCTGGAGAAAGACTCATGATCTTCAATGAAACACCCGCGGAATGTTCCATTTTTTTGATTGCATTCGAGTGCCAATCAATTTTGACGTTCAAGTTTTGTCAATAAGTGAGAGTGCTAACAAAGATAAAGTGAAGGGACCAAAGTTTAAAATACAATACATAATCGTCCATGATATATATATATATATATATATATATATCTTTCTATGTTTTGTTGACATTATCTGTATTTTCATAATTTACATCAGTATGCGGAAGGTACTGTGGCGCCAAAGCCAATACTTTGCAAAGTTGCACTTTCTTTAGTGCAAAAATTTAACCTCATCAATGGCTTATGCCTCATGCCATTGAGTTTATCAATTTTTATATAAAACAAGAAGAATTTATCAATAAAACAGAGTAGAATTCAAAATGCTCCACATGGTTCATGATTTAGGGATAATATCATTTCCTAAACCTTCATTTTAAAATTTCAAGAGAAGTTAATTGTTATTATTTTGGAGAAAATATCACTTTATATACATATATTTTGACTGTGTTTTGTTTTTGGTCTAGTAATTTATTTTCATCGTTCCTTGTTCCATATACTTGACCGGTTTACAATGTTAGTTATTTTAGTTTGAAAAATATTCATAAAACCCAAGAATTGTCATAGCAGTGTTTATTTTTCTGATATGGACTTAACACGGCTAAATTGTGTGATGATCTGGAAGACATAATTTAGGCTAGTTAAACGTTAAACTATGAATCATGTTAATTCAATGTCAGCAAATTAAACACTATTTAGACTAAATCATGATCCTTATAGATATATTTTAAATTAGAAGGATTAACATTGCAAATGAGGAATAACATAAATAAACTACAGGACTGAAAAATAAAATACGGACCAATATTGGCATTTACCCTACATTTTTCAATCATTCCCCATCTTCATTAATTTTAGAATTCCAGGTAGTGTTAATAATCGATCACTAAAAATAAGTTAAGGACATATAATTTCCCCATAACATTATATACTTTTAACCAAATATTATAGATTCATTAAATAGTAATTACCCCATTGACTTGGCTCAATCCGTACAAATAGATGACTGGGATATAGCTTCTGAAGACAGAAAAAAGATGGGAGGGACCAAAAACATGAAACCAACTTGTCTCCTCCGTTGTTATACACAGACACGACGTTCCTCTTTAGAAGGCGCGTTACTACAAGCGCTGAAGGAACAGGGGATACCGTCTTCTTCTTCACACACCATTTTTTCTCCCACACAGAGAAAAAAATAAAATAAAATAAAACTCAGATCATATTCATGCATCTCATTTACGGGAACTCTTTTTCGCAGAAATCTCTTCAATTCCAGTTTTAAGTTTCATCACTTTGTTCCTGAACGTCTGGAAATCGGTAATGGTGTCAATCGCCTCACCCAAAGAAGATGATGATGAGGGCTTTCTTAGATGGAATAGTTCTCGGATTTCATCGAACTGTTCCCAACATTCTTCTGCTTTTTTGTCGTCTCCCAGCATTATGTATATAATGGCCTGTCAAAATGTTCAAGCACAAGCCACGTTTAGTTCTCTAAGTAGGTCGGAGTTCAAGAGGTAAGAAGAAATGAAAAATGATAAGAGAACTAAAGAGAACGAGCATGTGTACTTTGTACAGTGGACGACGAGCATCTGAAATTTCTTCATGCTTCAAGCAATCGCGTTTCAGGGCTTCTTTATATTTCCCCTGCATATCTCATGTAAACAGGTTTCTATTTCTTTCAATATTCTTTTCAATTCGAACTTAATAAAATCTGTTTGGATGTTCAAAGATTCATGTAGATAAATTAGATGAAGATGGAGAGAGATTTATACCTCATAAATCAGCAATTCAACAAGAAGCATGCCAATCTCGTAGGCTTCATGGGGATTCCCAGAATGGGCTTTTTCAGCCTTTTTGAGTTGCTCCACTGCTGAAGCTTCTGTTCCACTTCTTTCCACCTTCCCCACAGTACTCTGCCAGTCAAACATTTACAAAACTCTTTCACAGTAAATATATTTACATATATTCAGAAACCTATCTCCCTCAATGGGGGAATTGTTATTTTTCCCACTTATGATTTCAAAGTCAAATTTCAAACAAGAAAATTTGTAATGCAACGTCCAACTTACCTGCAGCTTCTTCAAATCAATATGCTCATCATCAAGCAAATCCTTCATTATAGAATCTGTTCTATGAAATGTGTCTGGGCTTGGCTCAGCTTCGTGATAGTCAAACAATCTCTTCAATGCTAGATCACCACCATATAGCTCTCTAAAGGTCTTGGACCTTCTATCAAGAGTCTGAGGCTTTCTCCTTGACTTAAAAAGCTTCACACAAATCCACACACAACAAAAGCAACCAAGGATGACCAAGGGTACTGCAATTTTAGCAGTTTCCCCATACTTAGAAACTAAGGACAGCGCATGAGATGACACGTTTCCACACTTACTTAGAAGACGGGAAGAAATGGGAAAGCTTTCTACCAGTTGGTCCATTCTGATGGTTTTCTAATTTTTCGTTTTCAATTTGCTTCTCAGCAAAAGACCAATTTAAATGCATGCTTCTCTCCCCCATAAGTTATCAAGCTTGTGAAATAACATGAAGCATTTTGATTATTCTAGACTTGGCAAATGGGTAAAGTAAATTATATTCACAACGCGAATCCTCCACTTTTGCCATGAGAAATCCCAGACTTTAAGCAAAGATTTATGCCTTGTAATTAGTGAAGGCTGACAAAGGCAACTAAAGCTTAGATCACTGCTCTTAAACATGTAACATATTGTCGCTGTGGTGACTAGAAACGTATTTCTTACGGGACAAACCCAAGACCCAGTATGTATCAGATATTTACTTTTTAAGTCCTTTAATTAAAAGGAGAATTACAGCCAACTCCCTCTTAAAAAAACTAATCATGGACAAAGACTAACAATAAGTTCCGTTCAAGAAACAACAAGTCATGTTTTGTATTTTAACAACAATCCTTTCCAAATTAATCCTTGTCCATAATGAATTTTCTTGAGAGAAAGTTAGTTGTAATTCTCCCTTAATTAAATTAATGGGTTAAAAATTTTATTTTGCCTCTAAACTATTTGCTCAATAATGTTTGGTGTCCTAAATTTATTTAAGTTGTAATTTTTCCCTTCAACGTTTTAAAATGATGTATTGGGCACCTTGCCATTTAAAAAAAAACTTTGATCACTATTTGACCCAAAAAATTACTGAAAAAGATCTCAAAAATTATATAAAATAAAATATAAAGTTAAAAATAAATACTCTATAAAAAATTAATATCAATTAAGTCCCTAAAATAATGTGATAATTTATAAGTCTCCCTACAAATTGTGTTATTTATAAATGAATGCATTTGTAACATTAGTAGTAAATTTTTTAAGGAGGATTAATAAATTTTGGATGAAGACTTATAAATTATCACATCATTTTAGGGACTTAATTTGCATTAATTTTTATAGGGTATTGGTACTTATGTATTTTTAGGTTATTTTCTGTAATTTTTAAAATCATTTTTTTATTATTTTTAAGTTAACTTATCGTCAAAGTTAATTCTTTTAAGTTTTAATAGCATGATATCCGGTACACCATATTCAAATGTTGAAGATAAAACTTGCACCACATATCAATTTATGATACTAGACATTTTTGTGGGAATAGTTAAAGGACAGCGATACCTTTTAACCTTAAATTAATTATAACATGCAGAAGAATAATCCTGGACTCTACCACATATTGCTTTTTTAATTTTATTAATATGAAGGGCCAACGGCTAAGAATAACTTTTGTCCGACAATACGAAGCATTGATGCTCTGCATGCGAAAAAGTTGGGAGTCACAGTAAAAACCAAAAGAAGTATACCTTGTAAGCCTTTCAAAGCATTGATTCTGGGTAGAAAGCAATGAAGTAATATCTTATACCTTGCTTCATTCTAGAAAAGGATGTCTTGCAACGTTATCAGCATAGCAGAATTTGGGATATAAATAGAACAGAAGGATGTTTAAGCACAACTGAATACCAAAAAAGAAAAAATCTGGGTCTTGTGCAGTTTTCCCATGAGATGAACTCTGAATCCACGCATGCTAAAGCCTATGCTAGTGTTGTTGGGGCCTTCACTTTCAGTGGTAAGATGAACTCCAAGCCCAATTTAGCCTATGCTGCTTGGAAACAACATCGAAGCCGAGGTAATGTGATGTGTGCGTTGCATGAAATGACGAACCCAAAGAAGCGGTTATTTTTCAAAGATGAGCCCAGTGGAAGTGAAGTTGAAGCCCTCAAGGTTCATAACTTTATACCGTACTAATCAATTATTACTAGGTTGCTGAACTTTGAAAAAGAGATCTTGGTCGTCTGAAGCCAAGTGCGGCATTTAAACAAGCAGATAGACGTCAAAATAGGAAACATGTGTGCAATGATATAATTCTGTGTGTGTGTAGTTGTACGCAATGGCTCTATCAGAGGAAGATCCAGAACGAGCTGTAGAAATAATGCGCAATGAATGCGAATACTGGAAGGAAAGAAAAGCAGAACGTTATCTGTTAATGGCGCTCATTGAATTGCTCTTGTCTCAGGTACTACTACATCTCTGTTCTCTGCGTTTTGTTTTTTGGCCAAATGTTCTCAGCGTCTTGACAACCATGGTTTTGACATCAAATTTCATATTTGACAAAATGCCAAATTGATACATAGAAGATATACATAGATATGATGGCATTAATTTTAATCTCCTTCATAATTTTAATTCTTAAGCTTTAACTCCTACTCTCTCGAACAGTGGAAATACCAAGAAGCGAAAGAGGACATTGAGAAGCTAATGGAGCATGTAAGCGGACTACTTTCACTCAGGACGAGTGGTTGTTATCCATTAACTTGTTTATTTTATTAAATGATTCTTTTATTATTGTTGCTAAACGTGAATGATACGCACCAGATTGAAAAAAAAGGTTGGGCGTTCGATCTGCCGCCGGAAAAAGTTTATTTTCTCAAGGTTTGTCCTCTCCCTCTTGCAGTTAAAAATGTCTGAAAGTTAAAAAATAAGTCATGATATTCATAATTTTATAAATAATTAAATTATATATTAGGGTTAAAGGGTAATTTTATTCTTAAAATTATGAGTTCAAGAATGTCTAAAACCTTAACTTATTTTTAGTGTTGTTATGTTTCCCACCAATATTTAAAAACAGTACAATATCTTTTTTTTTTTGTTAATAAAAGTTAACTTTAACATTTAGTTGATAAAAAAAAATACATAAAAGAATTTGAAAAATGTAGAAAATGACTCAAAATTACAAATAAGTACAATATAAAGATTTACAATTTATTGTCCTTTCACTACTAAAAAAAAGCTTTTCACATCATCTTTTTATAATATTTTACATCTCTATTGTAGGGGGTATAGATTCGGACAACATAGAAAGTTGATTTATTCACGTCACTTTTATGGAGGACAGTTTTTGGAGAAACCACGTCGTTTTTTATAAAAAAGGGATGTGATTTCTCCAGAATCCACGACCTTTTTTTATAAAAAGAATCTGGAGAAACTGCATCAACGTCCCTTTTTTATAAAAAGAATCTAGAAAAACCGCATCCCTTCTTGTGAAAAAAAGGACATAGATCTTAATGCTATGGGTCTCGATACAGTAGAGAGGGGAAGAGAGAGTTGTTGTGTGGAGAAAAAGAAAAACGTGTTGCCATCAAAGGGAAAGAGGGAGAGGAGTTAGGTTTTAAAATACAAAATAATGAAGTGAGGGAAGAGCTCGATCTTATTTAAAAAAATTGACTAAAATTCGCGTTGCTTTTTTAAAAAAGCGATGTAAAAATATCCAAAATTAGTAATTTAAAATAATTTATTTTTTTTAATCCACATCTTTTTTTTAGAAAAATGACGTGAATAACTTACCATTATAAAAAATGTCTAAAAATTAATAATTTAAAATAATTTATTTTTCACAATCCATATCTCTTTTTCTAAAAAACGACGTGAATAACTTACTAACGTAAAAAATGTCTAGAAATTAATAATTTAAAATAATTTATTTTTCACAATTCACATCTTTTTTTTAAAAAAAAAAAGCAATGTGAATATTCACATTACTTTTTAAAAAAAAATAGATGTGAAAAATGTCAATAAATTAATAATTTAAAATAATTTATTTTTTATAATTTACGTTTCTTTTTTTTAAGTGACATGTGTAACTTATCACGTTGCTTTATTAAAAAAGCGACATGAAAAATATTTAAAAATTAATAATTTAAAATAATTTATTTTTTACAATTTGGGTCTCTTCTTTTAAAAAAACGATATAGATAACTTATCACGTCACTTTTTTAAAAAAAGTGGCATGAAAAATATTCAAAATTTAATAATTTAAAATAATTTATGTTTTAAAATTTACATATGTTTTTTAAGTTATCCACATCACTTTAAAAAAATGATATAGATTGTAAAAAATAAATGATTTTAAATTATTAATTTTTAAATATTTTTCAAGTTGCTTTCTTAAAAAAAGAAGCACATAACTTATCTCTATCACTTTTTTAAAAAAACAATATTGATAGTCTTACATATTCAACACTTATTTATAAAATTATCACCGCCTCTATTTTTTATGTCATTTTTATAAGAAAGTAATGTAAATTGAATGACGCAAAATGTTTTTTTGTAATAATAATTTTTGTAATTCTTGAGATTTTTTTCTCATAATTTTTTATATCATTTTCTATACTTTTTTCGTTAATTAATAATTAAAGTTAATATTGTTGGAAGTCAAAGTAGGAAATATGTGTGCAATAACATAACTGCGTGTGTGTATAGTTTTATGCAATGGCTCTATCAAAGGAAGATCCAGACGGAGCTGAAGAAATCATGCGAAATGCATGCCGATGGTGGGCGGGCACAGAAGCAGAAGGTAATCTGTTAATGGCGCTCATTGAGTTGCTCTTGTCTCAGGTGCTACTTCATCTCTGTTCCCTGCGTTTTGTTTTCTTTTTTGTTTTTGTTTTTTTTTTGGGGCCAAATGTTCTCTGCGTTTTGACAACCATGGTTTTAATACCAAATTTCATACTTGAAAAATGCCAAATTATATTGATACATAGAAGATATGATGGCATTAATTTTAATCTTCTTCACAATTTTAATTCTTAAGCTTGAACTCGTACTGTTGAACAGGAGAAATACCAAGAAGCGAAAAAAATCACTCAGAACCTAATGGAGGATGTAAGTGGACTACTTTCACTCTAGATGAGTGGTTATTATTCCATTAATAACTTGTTCATTTAATTAAATAATTCTTTTATTATTGTTGTTCAATGTGAATTACACCCACCAGATGGCCGGTGTGCTGCCGAAAAAAGTTTATTTTCTCAAGGTTTGTCCTCTCCCTCTCTCTATTACAGTTAAAAATATCTTGAAGTTAAAAAATAGGTCATTTTTTTTAGTGCTCCTGTATGTATTTTTTATTTTTTTTATTATTTAAATTTTTTAAAACTTTGGAGTGTATATATACCTTTATAAATGACTAATCCGAATATAAAATATCAATTCAGAAATAATATTATTAAACATAAAAAATTGTCTATAAGAAAAGAACTTCAAAATAAAACAACTACTTCAATTTCCTAACCAGTCTAATATTTAGCTGCCCAAAAAAAAAAAAAAAAAAAATAAGCACGTACACTTTTTGAGAAGAGATTCCTATATTCCAAATCTGAACACCTGAATATCATCTCTATTGTAGTCTTTCAACTGATACATTCCTTAGCAAAATCATTACTTAATCCTGCATCATGTTATGAATGTAAGATTGAGATGTAAAGGATCTGATACATGTGGGTTGCTTGTGAGTGGTATGACAGGCTATTGCAGAATCTGCAACTGACATTGAAAAGGCGGCAGCATCCTGGGCAGAATACCACGACGCTTTGGAGGAGACTTCACCGTCTGACTTTCCACGTCCCTGGAGGATATAAAATTCAAATGTCATACATCACAAGTTCATATGTGCTTTTCCTTTTTACATTATGATTTATTAATGTGATAAATATCATTAATATTTTTATTTGGGGGGCCTGTTGGTTTTTTTTTATTAAAAAAAAATGGAGAGAAAGGGTGATTGAAACATTGCTTCAGTCACAGATAAATATAATGCACTTTGCTTCGTGAGTGTATGATATGATCATTATTGGCTCTGACGGATTTTTGTACCCCAGCATGCATGCTTGCGTGTGTGTGTGTGTGTGTTTGATTTTTTTTTGGACCAACAATGCATGCTTGTGCTAGGGACATCAACGATGCTATTCAAGTTTGGTCCAATTTCCAAACTTGAGCTTCGTCAATGTCGATATTGTTATCAAATATTATTATCATATAAACACCACATCAATTCGATCCAAGAACATCAACCATAATTTCAAGGACTAATTCTTTTATGTAAAACTATATATAGGGGCACTACCCAAGTTCTTGTTTGGATAAATGGGCATGCCCAAATTGATGACAATTTTCGAGATCAAATATTATATTTTTCTCAATTTAATTTGTAGCTGAAACTCCAAAGAAATCTTTCTTCTAAAAAAACCTGAGCCATTGACTTTCATCTGATGGCTCAACCGCTTTCTCGGACAGTTATACTTTAGCCCATAAAAAAGTTAAAAGGAAAAGTATTTGAATACACCGTCACATGCTTTTATGAATATTACTTTCAGGGTCTGTTTGATTTGAGGGAGGGGGAGGCGACCTCCCCCCCAATTTGGAGGGGAGGCTTTGGAGGGGAGGGAAAGGAAAATTTTAAAAATTTCCCCTCCCCTCCTCCTAACTAAATGAGGGGAGGGAAGAGGAGCCCCTCCCTTTCCCTCCCCCCAACCAAACGGGGCCTCAGTCAAATATTAGACGTCAGTTATTTTGTTGTAATAATTAATGTTGATGAACATAAAATATTTTAGTTCAAATTTTTTATTTTCATACATGATTATTATAATTAATCAATTTTTTTAAATTGTATGATATAATTTTTTTTCTTTTGTATATAAAAACAGAGGGGGTACTGATCAATTATGATTAGGTTACTGAATTTTGAAGAAGAGACCTTGATGGTATGGAGGCATTTAAACAAACAGATTTTATAATAACATGTTTATGCGAATCTATAACGGCACAAGTTCAAAGTAACGATATCAGGGGGAAAGAAAACGAACCTTGTAAAGATTCACTTTTTTCAGCGACAAAGCCGTGAGCGGGCTTGCAAATCCCATTGCCCCATCCTCCCGTTTGTCAATGAATTCACTCAGTTTGACGGTGACCTTATTCGCTACTTCGCATTTCGCCTGTACATGTAATTAAGGATGCCGAAGGGACTTCGCTTCTCTTTTTAAAAAAAGTCTTTTCTGCCTCTCTTTTAAAACAAAAAAAAATAAATTGTCTAAATTTAATTTAAACGATCAAATTTAATATTTTTATTTTTTATTTTTATTTTTAAAATAAATATATATTGTAAAAAAATTTAATAAATATACTTATTAATGTAATAATCCAAATTTAATATAGATTATCTAAATTTAATATTAAAATTTTTTAATAAATTTACTGTTCTGTTCAGAATATATCTAAAAAAGTTAATTTAAATTTTTATATTAAATGTGAATTATCTATATTAAATTTGGACTGTCAAATTAATAAGTATTTTTATTAAAATTTTTTACAATATGTATTGTAACACCTTTTCAATTTACAAACCGATTTTTTGCAAATTATTAATGCAATAAATCTTTTTTTTAATTGAAACCTTATCATACTCTTATCATGGTAGAAAAATTTCTACCATGGTACATCCAAGACAATATACCACAGGTCTTAAAATATCTCAAAAAGCAATTAGAACCATGAAGGACAGACAGGATCCAGATGGCATGATATTTAAATCAGGTCATGAATCAAGAGGGACAAACATAATCCTCTTGGTCATATAAATGCATTTAATAAAAAGGATTAGAGTTTACATGTTGTCAAAATAAGAAATGTCCTAGGTTGGCACAAGATACATTGCATAATACAAAATGGGAGGCAACGTAAAAGATGGTGTCTCATACACCAAAGTTACGCCTCTGGTGCTTTTCGGTCGGACTCGCTCCTGTAAAAATGTTAACCACGGGGAATGAGACTTAAAAGTTCTAGTAACCAAAAATTAATATGTAATGATACATGCGGATGTAACTAATCATGCGATTGCTAATTGGGCACACAAAAACATTTAACCGAATAATATTTTTAAACAAACCGAACAACTATTTAATTGCATGACTACACCTTATATCCTCCTTTCACCATGCTCGGACGCCAAATCACCCGGCCAAAGGTGAGTTGGACCAAGCGACACGCCACTCATTGGGTCCAATGAGGGCTTACCATGTGGTAATAATTAACCGAACAGAAATTTTCATTAACACATACATTAAAATACCCTGACAAGTCATGTATTATTCAAATATCCAAACAAGAATATATCCGAACAATAATATCTTATCATGATAACCAAAAATAAATTTTTAACCCACTTGAAATAATTTCAAACGAGTATATACAGTATTTATTTTCAATAATTCATAATTTTTTCAAACAATAAAACAACACATAACCATTCATAAACACACCCATCACAACACATTAATAATGGTTACCTTGTGTCTTGAATAACAAGTTTCCCTTCACAACTCTTCTTGCACCACTATCTTTGTCAACACAATCTACATAATTATTTTATAATACTATATATTAATTTTATATTAAAATAAATAATTCTAATTTAAAGAGTTAGAAAGTCTTAGACTTAAAATTCATATTGACACTAATTTAAGATTTATGCTTCATTTAACTTTTAAATTCTTTTTCTAAAATTCTCATACCTTAATAAACTATATTTAAATCTCAAATCACTTCTAGTATCACAATTTATCCATTTATATTTTAAAAATCCATCCAAAAATAAATTAAAAATTTTTAAAATTAACTTGAAGCCTCAAATCACCTTTTTATAGCCTCAAAAATACATATTCATACTTAAATAAATATTTAATAATCAGATGTTCATCCCTATATCTCAGATTCAACATAAATTCAACTATATAGACCTAGAGTTTAACTCAAAATTCTTAAACATGAGTTTCAACCTCAAGAAAATATTCTATAATATTTATTATATCTCTAAGAGCTTTAACCTATATTTTTAATCCATCATATCATCAGATTAACTATCCTATAGAAAAATCTTAATCAAAATATTTACTCTATTCTACAAAATAATCATATCACTAGAAAGCTAATATTATTTAGAAAATAACTATAAAATTAATTTTGTACTTAAATAAATTTTTAAATGCTAATCTAAATAGGAAAATTGGAGCATACCTAAGAAAAAGAAAATAATCCTCCCTTGCGAGAAAACGTCGAGCAACGTGAGAGAAAGAGAGAAAAATAATATAAAAATAGGATTGTGGGTCCCAAAATTATATTAAAAAAATTATAAGTTTGAATTTAATTATTCAAAATTTGGGCCATTACTTACAATTTTCACAAATTGCATAAACTTTCTTTTTGCCTTCCTCTGCACGCTCTCACTTTCCTTTATATGTGAGGAATCCTTTCCTCGTCCCACATCTAACTGATGTGGGACTAAACTCCTTTTTTTTCATTCTTCTTTTTTTTTCCACATTCACACATAATTTATATATATATATATATATATTTTAAATCTTAAAATTATATCTTAACTAAACATTTCTTATGTAATTTTAAACTTAAGTTTTTAATTTATAATTAAATGCCTAATTATTATTATTTTCAAATAACCTCAAATAATAATATAAATTCCTATTATTATCATCATTTTTTTAATAAAACTTAAATTCCATAATTTTTTTTATCTAAAAATTAGGATGTTACAATTCTCCCCTCCTTATAGAAATTTTGTCCTCAAAATTTAATGCTGGTAAGCTTAAAAACTATGTACCTAAGCAAATAAATGTGGATAATCTCACCTCATACTCTCCTCGGTCTCCCAGGTAGCATCACCTAGGGCTCCACCCTTCCAAATCACCTTCACGAGTCGGATGGTCTTATTGCACAGTTATTTATCCTTAAAGTCCTCAATTCGCTCCAAATTAGATCTAAAGGTCAAATTCTCCCTCAATTCCACTTCTTCAGGTTCAATAACGTAGGAGGGATCCGGGTTGTACTTCTTCAACTGTGATACGTGGAACACATTATGGATACCTGCAATCTGTGGAGGCAATGCAACTCTATATGCAGTAGATCCAATTCACTCCAAGATGTCATACGGGCCCATCAATCTAGGTGTCAACTTCTTTGCCTTAATAGATCTATCAATGCCTGTCACCGGAGAAACCTTCAAAAATACATGATCTCCTCCTTCAAACTCTAACGGCCGTCTCCTCTTATCGGCATAACTCTTCTGTCGACTCTGAGCTGTTAGCAATTTTTGCTTAATCATAGCAATCTTCTGGGTGGTCTGCTCTACAATTTCTGGACCAATGATACTCCTCTCACTTAATTCTGTCCAACACAAAGGCGATCTACACTTCCTTCTATACAAGGCCTCATAAGGCGCCATCCCAATACTAGAATGATAGCTGTTATTATAAGCAAATTCAGCTAATGGCAAATGATTATCCCAACTACCTAGTAGTTCAATGGCACAAGCTCTCAACATGTCCTCAAGTTTGGATCGTCCTCTCTGTTTGTCCATCTGTTTGGGGGTGATATGCTGTGTTAAAACTCAGTCTGGTACCCATAACCTTCTGTAGCGTACCGCAAAAGTTTGAAGTGAACCTTAAGTCACGAATCTGACACAATTCTAGAGGGTATACCATGAAGTCTAACTATCTCCTTAATGTATATCTCAACAAATTTTTTTAATGTAGAGGTAAACTTGATCGTCAAAAAGTGAGCTGATTTGGTGAGTCAATCCACGATTACCCAAATAGCATCCTTACCTGAGGGTGTTCTTGGCAGTCCAGTGATGAAATCCATGGAAATATCATCCCATTTTTACTTTGGAATATCTAACGGTTGCAGCATTCCAGCTGGCTTTTGATGTTCTATCTTTAGCTTCTGATATGTCAAACATCTAGAAACAAATTCGGTTACATCTCTCTTCATTCCTGGCCACCACCA